CAGTCTAAAGACAAACTTAGGAATGTACGGAGCTGCACTTCACACTTTTATAAGTGTACGTTTTCATTGCATGCTCCTTAGTTAAGCACGGAGATAAGTTTGCCTTCATCTTTATTTTACTTTCATGTAGACAAGTTTAATTGTGGCATTCATAACCAGCAGTCCATATACGTATGAATACGTTTATACTGACGGACTTGAATATACGTGTAAGTAGATCATTTTGCTGGAAGCAGTTGTCTAACAAAGCGACTCAGAATTGATCGGAAAATTTTAATCTCCTTTCCTTCTTCGAATATATACGAGGGATTTAACAATATGTTAGGTAATGGGACTAAATTGCGAGCCGGGATAGCGACTGGCTACGGGCTGGAAGACCGAGAGTTCGGAGTTTGAATCCCCGTAGGATCAAGAATTTTCTCTTCTCCACGTCGTCCAGACCGGCTCTGGGGCCCACCAAACCTCCCCTACCATCTGTACCGGGGCTTTGTCCCCTTGGGTAAAGCGACCGAGGCATGAAGCTGACCACTCACTTCCAGCTAGTACCGAGGTCAAGAAAATGTGGATCTATACATCCACTCACCCATACGCCTTCATGACGTAGTGCTTAATGAGGTAAACACAGGGACAAATTTACCTTTTTTTAATGGGACTAAATTACAGGCTGGATGCCTGAGTAGTTGGGATTGGATTCCCGGTAGGGCTAAGGGATAATTCTCTCTCCATGATATCCACACTGCAACGGGATCCCTTTCAGATTTCTATAAAATATGTTCTGGGAGCTGCTTCTCAGGGTGTAAGGCGGCAAGAGCATAAAGCTAACTATATACTTTCATCTAGAGCAGAGGTTAAGAATTCCGGAGCTATAACATACGAGTAGCTCCTCATACATCTTCATGGGGGCTGTGCTTAATTAATTACGCACAGGAATAACCAGTATGTTTATCATGCTCTGTCTCTAAGTGTCCCTGTAATTCTGCTGCTTTTGTTTTCATTCGTAAGAGTCTTCTATTTAATGGTTCTCTTTCCTCGGGGTTAAAAGTGATCACCAATCTTCATCTTACACTCCATTAAGGGGGTGGCTGTAGAAACACACGAGATGTTGTCTCCTCCACTGCTAACCCTCTCAAAGCCCAGAAAAAACAAAGGAAAAATATGCAGGACTTATCCACCATAATTTTTTTTACGGGAAGCAGTGCTCTTAAATTTCAACTTTCCACTACATTTACCCTCTGATGAGCAAAATGAGGAACGTACACGATTCATCGCCTGGGAGTTCTGTGTTCTGAACATTCCCCAACCCGGAAATGTAACACAATCCAAAACTAGCCTCATGCTAGTGCACCACCCGATGACCATCCTACAGGTTAGGGAAGAGAGAAACTTATTGCAAGCGCACAAATTCAGTCAGCGGCTATCTCTTCTGAAAGGGAGTGGTGCTGCACACCAAATCGAATTTGGAAATAAGGGATTATTGTACCAGCCGAGGTTAAACCTGTTCTTTTGAAGAGACTGAAGTGTGACACGGCGGCCATTAAACGATCCTGACAGTAATTGCAACATATTCGGTGGGTGCCTTGTCACCACGGCATGGCGCGCCCTCAGGTTGCCCTCCAAGTATGGAGGGAAGCTGCAAATTTATTGAATAAGCAGTCCCAGACAGCCACATGTTGTGAACCTCCAACTTGGGGTTTGGGCATGGGACCCGACATAAAAAAATGGACAACTTGCACATATCATGGCCCAGACACTAGGACCATCACAAACTATTCCATAACACTAATCTAAAAATTGTTTACAAAACAAGTGATTCAATATAACACCATCTTAAACTAAAAAACTAAATAACCGATACGTTCAACAAGAGGAGTATACCAACTGAAATGAGACGAATGCCCTATGAAATACATAGGACAGACTGAACGTATATTGAAAGCCAGCTTAAAGAAGATATAAGACATAAGAACCAACAGACACACCTCGAAATTCGCACAACATATACTAGATATTGCACATATACACAACACGCTGGACCAAACTATGAAAATCCTACATATCGAGAAAAAAGGACACAAACTAACACTTTCAAGTGTTTCAAAATATACTTATAAATCCTAACTAAGAAAGCATTACAATTAAACGACACACATACAGAAACATACAACCCCATTTTCTACGCCTAATCAAGAATACCCACAGATATAACCCCCTTCCCCCACCCACACACATCACGTTACCATGACGTACTTGTACGTTGTAACAACCACAACCACACACGAGTAACACTCAGTCCGTGCAATTACACAAATATCAAACAAGGGGCAACATTTAAACATATATTTCTAAAACATGTAGGTAAGCTATATCGACCTTCTCTTCTATTGCAGCTGAACTTGCAGGATAATTTAGGATAACAGTGAGAAGTGCAAGACTTCATACCATACTATAGGTAAGTATCCTCCCCTCATTTTATCTAACAATATTAAACTATAATCTATAATACTCATATAAGATTGTTTGATATGATCTACACGACAACAAGCAAGAAATAGCACATCCACCCCCTTGCAGCTTACCAACACATGTCAGTTGAAGAATGCACGTGACCAAGCACAGCTTATAATCTGAGTTTTAAATACGTACAATATACAATTAATTTTTATGCCATTTATATTTTTATTATTTTTAATATTTCTAGTTCTTATTTTTGTTTTATCTTTATCTTAATTTTTTAATCATAATCATAACATGAATTGTATACTAAATTGTAAATATATGCATTTATATTCGCTAGGAATGCAGTCATCAGTTGCAAGAATACGGGTCCGTATTATGACCAATTTAATCACTTTAATTATGTTCATAAGTGCCTGATGATGACCTAATTATGTGGTCAAAACATGTAACAAATTTACGGTTATATTAAACACATAAGACACATACTAACATCTGTTGTCATTATTGAAGATATTTCAATATTACTTGGGAAACCATTAGAGAGAACATCAAGATTTCTGCCAAGGAGAGTCTAGGTTATTATGAACCGAAGAACCATAAGCTATGGTTCGATGAAGGATGCTCAAAATTACTAGACCAAAGAAAACAAATCAAATTGCAATGGTTACAGGATCCAAGCGAAATACATAGGAATAAACTGAACAATATAAGACGTGAAACCAGCAGGCATTTCAGGAACAAAAGGAGGGAACTTTTGAAAGACAAAATTGATGACGATGAGCTTGCAATGAACAGTAAGAACAAGAACATTAGAGACCTGTATAGCGGAATAAATGACTTTAAGAAGGGATACCAACCTAGCAGTAACTTAGTGAAGGATGAGAATGGTGATCTGCTTGCAGATTCCCACAACATTTTGAATAGGTCGAGGAACTACTTCTCTCAGTTATTGAATTTACATGGGGTCAGTGATGTTAGGCAGGTAGAAATGTACACAGCTGAGCCATTAATATCTGATCCCAGGCCTTTTGAGGTTGAAAGTGCTATTGCAAAATTGAAACGGTATAAATCGCCAGGTAGTGATCAAATTCCGGCAGAACTTATTCAAGTAGGAGGCGAAATATTACTTCTAAAATCCATAAGCTAATTATTTTTATTTGGCATAAGGAAAAATTTCCTGATCAGTGGAAGGGATCTCTTATTGTACCAGTTCACAAGAAGGGCGATAAAGCTGACTGTAGTAATTATAGCTGTATATCACTGCTATCAACTTCATACAAAATTTTATCCAATATTCTTCTCTCAAGGTTAAGTCCATATATAGATGAAATTATTGGGGATCATCAGTGTGGGTTTCGATGTAACAGATTAACTACAGATCAAATCTTTTGCATTCGTCAGATATTGGAGAAAAAATGGGAGTACAATGAGACAGTACATCAGCTATTCATAGACTTCAAGAAAGCCTATGATTCAGTCAGGAGGGAAGTATTGTACAATATTCTGATAGAGTTTGGGGTACCCATGAAACTAATTCTTCTGATTAAAATGTGCTTAAACGTAATGTATGGTAAAGTCCATATAAGTAAATATTTATCTGATAATTTTCCTATCCAGAATGGTCTAAAACAAGGAGATGCTTTATCATCACTGCTTTTCAACTTTGCTTTAGAACCTCGACCAACATTCAGACTAGGGCTTTTCTGAAGGGTTGTGGTGAAAACGGGAGAGCACAATGGTTCCAATAACGCTCTGAGTTCTTGTGGTGACCAGAAATTGTCCCCTTCATTTGAGCACTCACTGACGCATCTTTTAGCAGTTACGTCTAGACCCGTGTTTCTCAACCAGAGGAAAGCGTACCATCAATGGGGATTGAGAGTCAACTGTGTCTCAAATAAGATAGTTCATTCACACAGCATTCACTTACACAAAAGGCTTCCTGCATTGTAAATACATATTTCAAAGTTACGCTGTCCTACAATTGTATTTATATAATTATAGTAATAAAATATATTATAAAAATTGCGATATTTAAGCTCTTAAGAAATTCCATCAATGATGATGACGACGATGATTCTGATGATGATGATAATAATAATAATACATATGTGTCGGGTTAACTCAGTGTTATACTGAAGGGTTGCGGGCTGGACAGCCGGGGTTCGTTTCCCGGCAGAGAAAAGAGAGTCTTTTGTGCTCTACAGCGTCCAGACCTAGCTCTGGGGTCAACCCAGACTCCTACCGGATGGGTATCAAGGGTCTTTCCCCGGGAGTAAAGCTGCAGGAGGTGTGAAGCTGACCACTCACCTCGACCCAGTGCAGAGATCAAGAATGGTGAAGCTATAATTCAATTTCCTCTTAAGTCTTCATAAAACGGTGCTCAATTAATTAAGCACAGGGAGAAATTTGCATTTACACAATGGAAAAAACAAGCTTCTTTGTTTTAGGGCGGTGTAACTGCATCTTTTGAAAACGTGACCAGGTGCGTAAGTCTGAGAATCTCGGATCTAGACTGACTTCTGCACTTTTGATACAAACCAAAATATATTTTAGTTACTTTAATTTAAAAAGAATAATTACTATCTGTAAAGGCGAATAATAAATACATTCTATCTAATTTAACACATAATCTCTCTTAAACAGCAACAGTGTTGTGACGTCTGCTACTGGTCCTCCAGGGGAACGCCACACCGAACGTTGTAGAACTGGTCACAAACTTTAAATTGCTGGTGGAACAGCGTTCCATTCGGACACAGGAAACTGCGCACCAAATGGTCTTGGCAAAGATGAAAAGCCTGGAAAAAAGTGAGGTTAAATATAACACTTTAGATTTACTAGGTAAGGTCAGGTTGTTCCAGGACAGAACACATTAAGGGGAAATGAAACATGCGGCAGGGGTATTAAGTGACGTAATTGACACCTCTTTCTGTCTTTTTTATTCATGAGAAGATCTGCCATTTTGTGTGAGTAATGAGAGAAACGCTGTTTTGTTAGAAACATCTTCATTAAACGCGTCACTTCTTAAATTACTGAAGTGATGAAGCAATGTGTGTTCCTCGATTTTTTTATTTGGCTAAGGAATAGAGGACGGTAAAGGTAAAGATATCCCCGTAACAGGCCGTGAAGGCCCATAGAGTTGTGAGACGTCGAGGATCCCATATTTTCTAGGCAGTCGGCTCATAGGTGGCGGTGAGGTTTCCAGCCTTACCCCTTTACCTCCAGGAAAAGGTACTTACCCTGGTACTTATTTCTCTTAGAGGATGAGTGGAACCCAGGGCCATAGGGAGGCTGGAAAGATTATGTAAATTGAAAAATCTACCTCATCGGGACTCGAACTCGCTACCTTCCGGCTGTAGCATAGAAAGTAAGTAAGTAATTTTTTAATTTCTTCTAATTCGCATAGTGGGGCGGGGGTGGAGTCAAGTTGGGTCTACTCGGCACGGCGGCCACTGACTGGCCTATTGTACCTGCCCTGGTGATTATGATGATGGAGAAATTGGTGGAATGAAGATTGGCAGGGGAAACCAAAGTACCCGGAGGAAACCGGCCTCAGCGCCACTTTGTCCACCACAAATCCCACTTTCCCAAACCCGGGTTTGAACCCGGGCCACCGCTGTGAGAAGTCAGCAACTAACCGCTTGAGCTATGGCGCGGCCAAGTAAGTAAGTAAGAGGATGGGAGGATGTATGGATGTGAAATAAATTGAGCTGGCTCAGGTTAGGGCTTAGGGCTGGGCTGTTGTGAACACGGTGATATACTTCTGAATTTAATAGAAGGACAGGAACTTCCTAGTTAGCTGAACAACTATTAGCTTCTCAAGAAAAACTCTGCTTCATGAAGTTTGTTGTTTCTTGAATTAACCGTAATAGTGAAACCATGGAACTATTTTCAAAATATGAACAGTTCCATTTGGATTTATTTTGGACTGAAATTCAAGACGATTTTATGGATACATAGCCAGGTCAGTGGTTTGTATATCATTTATATCATGCATTGCTCTGAATGCGTAGGGAGTTGGAAACCTCGTGTCATTTTTACACTCCACAAACGGATATTTTTGTAATCATTTTACGTATATACCAAGGAAACTGAGGGATATGGTATCACAGTTTGTGTTTATAGTCTGCCTATCTTTTGAACAAGTTGGTTATTGTTCATAAAGATAGGCATAAAATCCTGAGGGTTGTATTTTATCTTGTGTTCTTAAATTTTAGTTCCCAATCTTAAAGAGTTCTATTTTGTCTTCCATTAAAAGTTCTGAGATGAAATAAAAATTAAGATGATTCAAAGCACAGCAGGTCATTAAAAGACGAATATTAGGAGTACTATGCTCCTAAATGAGATATCTCACTTCTAGCATGAAAATTGTTAAATTTCATTTTATATTTGAATACTAATTTGAGTAAATAAGATCTAAAAGTTTGTGATGATGGTAAATTGTTACAATNTTTGAGTACTTTACAATTGTCTATAAATAACTGAACTTCAGAAATCTTAGTCCTTACAGACTGTACCACATATACTCGTAAGCTTTCGTTTTAAAGCCCGATTGTTGAGGCAAAGCCCTGAATTACTTAACAGGTTAGCATGGCGACCAGGCTCCAGTCTCGTATTACGGAGGTGTTCGGTTAAAACCTCGGTTGGGGCATTGACTATTCTGATTGAGGTGTTTCGTGGTTTTCCTCACTCTCCAGGGTAATGTCGAGATAGTAAATCAGTTAGGTCACGATTGCTTCCTTCCAAATTACTTCTAATTCACAATCCATTTTTCACGCTACGTAGCCTAGCTGCTGACACATATCAGCAATGGTTATACAAAAACAACAAGATGTCTTTTTTCATCTGTGTGAAGACTACAAAAATTATTCTCTTTGGCGTCTATTTTATGACAATATATGTCACTGACATTAATTGTGACACAACAGACATGCATTGCCATTTCAAGAGTGACAAAACGAGAGGTTTGGTTTGAAGAGATTCGCAGCGCGTCGTGGTTACAGGACTAATTTGAAAGAAAAACCCAAGGCATTGAGGTGGAGGAAAAGACAGGAGGAAAGCGCTGGAGAGAAATAAAGAAAACTGAAAGTATATATTTAAAAGAGAAATAAAGAATAAAGAACGAGAGAGCAAGATAAAAGGAAACAAAAAGAGGGACAGAGAGGAAAGTAGTGCGTCCCGAAAAACAGGTTGAAGCTTTTTAATGAAACATTCTTAAACGAGAGGGAGTTGCTTTTTTAAAAAAAAATCTAAGGCAGGTCGTGGAGACCCATAGGGCTGTGAGACGTCGAGACTGCCACATTTTCCCTAGACAATCGGTTCACAGATGGCGATCAGTTTGTCAGCCTTACTCGCCGGCCGCTTTTTAACCCCAGAGAGATTCCTGGTACTCATTTCTGTTAGAGGCTGAGTCGATACAAGGGCCATAGTGAGGCTGGAAGGATTGGGTCCATTGAAAAATACAGCGACATCATCTGGAATCGAATCCGCAACCTTCCGGCTTGCAGCATAGTGCTTCAACCAACTAAACTACCGCTTGCCCCATCTTTTTAAAAAAGCTAACAGGAAAACTTATTATCTGGTGTCAGATCTGAGTTAAAGTGATTCGACAATGATTTCGTAAAAAAATCTCTACGAAAAATGTCATTTTCACTAAATTTACTCCATGAATTCCCTTCCCCCTCTGGGCCTAGTGTCTGAGCTTGGTGTTCGAAGAGGAAGGGGAATGACGTTTCAGTCACACTCCAGTTATCGCATTCCATATCGCACATTGAAATTCATCAGCTCGATCTATCGATAAACTATAAAAATAGAAGCGCGTAAAAGTAAGTCACCACTTCGGAGCCAAGGTAACCCAGATGTTTTCAGTCACGTTGCGGTTCTGATATCTGTGAAAGTAACTTTCTCCCTCGCACATTCAGAGCCAGTAGCTACTGCTGCTGTCTACAGGAGTGACTTCATTGAATGGTAAGCGCGCCACTTCTCTATTGGCGGATTTCAATTCGGGCAATAACAATCGTGCGCTGAAACAGCGACTGTTGCTGCTGCATCTGCAGTCTAGAATCTAGACGCTCTGCATACTACTCAGTGTTCATATCATCTCTCTGCTTTTATTGCAACGTGATTTTCGTAACTGCACCGTGACTGACTCGTGACGTTGCATGCTTTGTTCATGATGCTGTTCAAATAGCGTCGTGACCAGTTCTTTGCAGTATGCATATCGTGCAAATAACACACCATATACATTACACACTGAGCTATTGTATTTAGGCCAAAGCTAATATTTAAAACGGAATTCTCGCCTTGATAGTAAGTCTCCTGTCCTTTCACAGAAGGCTGAAGTGACAAAGCCCCTAAGTTTCGCTTTTTGCGAATGAAAATTAATTTATATTGAGCTTTTGTACACATTTCTCCATTGAGAGTAAATGAAAGAGGTTATGAAAAATTAAAATACAACTGGTTTGAGAACTATATCAGCAATGATTTTCGTCACAGTATCTGAAAATCTCATGTTGTTAACTGTGATGAAGTTTCGAGAAAGTTGTTGTTCAGTGAAAGGAAAGAGAAAATCTATCTTCTCCTGGGACAGAATTTGGGCTTGGGCCAGCCCTACCTTCACCAGATACTGCATTAACTCTACTTTGGCAGTGAAACCCTCTCTCAGCCTAAGATATCATAGGACTCTCCTAACAATAACCTAATTGTTGCTGTCCTAAATGTTATGAAGTAACTCTCAAGTGATATTAACTCCCTGCCCTGACCTAGATACTACTGGAACACACCTCGCAACAAGCCCTTTATCTCCACCCCAGATACCATAGCAACACTCAACTGACAGGACGTTCCTTGCCCCTGTCGTAGACGCCACAGGAATTAGTCTCTCAGGAAGCCCATTGTCCCAGCCCTTAATGCTCTAGTAACTCAGGTCCCCTTCCCCTGACTTAGATACGAAAGCATATCGCTTGGCAATAAGCCCGGTGTCCCAGCCCTTAATGCTCTAGTAACTCAGTCTCTTTCCCCTGCCTTATACACCAAAGGAACTCGCTTGGCAATAAGCCCAGCCCTGTCCCACATGCTATAGTAACTAGCCTGAGCTAAATGCACAGGAAATTCCTTGTTCCAGCCCTTTCCAAAGTAAATACGACAGGAACGTTCACCTGACAGTAAGCCTCCGTATCTGCATGCAGGCCCCAGTCCCTGCCCTCGCAGCTGAAGGCAGTGTGTGGCACCTTGTCCAGGGTTGGGTACAGAGGGGGTTCGTGCGGCAGGTGCAGCTCGTGGTACGGGTTATGCGGTGTTCCGTCCGCATTGAGGAAGTGCCCCGCACGTGTTAGCGCCGACAGTATCGCTGCAATGCAAACCAGGCTCTGAGTGATGCCAATATGAAGTTACGCTGCCGAAGGTATGCGCTCAAAACATGATTACACAATGCGGATCTTAATTATTTGTACGCTTCATCGATAATGATGCAATTACTGAATCAAGAAGGATAAGATGAACTATAGTTGCAGCACGCGTTTTGAAGATGAGTAGTTTAAATGTTTTAAGCCACATATTCTCGTCAGTAGTTTGTCTTCACGTTCTTACATTCAACAGTTCCTTTCATGCTGTAGTTTACTGTACTCTTAACACAGCTGACTATAGAGAGTTGAATGGTGACCAATGCATTTGAGGGGATCTGAAAGGAAGCGGTCTGGGCTAGTAGAAATGTTGTTCCGGCATTTGCGCAGAGGAACTGATAAAAGCCACAAAAATTTCCACTCTTGAGAATCCGAGTGCCGACGAAAATTCGAACCGAGCACCTCCGAAATACAAGTTCAGAACCTTACCGCTATACCTTCCTGCTCAGTTCGAATCAGTAATATTGTCTCACTGCAAATTAATCGAAGTGCGACTCTTATATAAAAAAGGTTAGTAATTAATATTGCATATTCATTCATCCAGTCATTTACAAATTTTTATTAATACTTCATAATAAAAATTACGAGTAAGCAAGGTTTCCTGAATTTATTATACCCGTTATATCAACCTAAATCCCAAAATTGACGTTTATACTCTTCTGGTTCCCTTACAACAAGCATGCATATAGCTAATCAATGAATACGTTTGGGTTCGTAGAAACGCATTCTTGGCTAATTTCCTTTTCCCTTTTTCTCTATAACAGTAAACCTTAGCAAAAGCAAAGAACACATAACAACCCATATCTACCTAAGGCTAATTTGAACAACAACCAGGCGGAATTATTGACCAGAATCTGGACACTTCAAGTAATCGATTTTATAAAGGGGAAAATTTGTCTGTTTGTCTGTTTTATCTGCAGAACTACTCAAAAGATTTATTTAAATTTTGTATCTGGATAAGAATTCTCACTACTTGAACATCAGAGTAATCGAAGTGTTGATCGTTATGCAAAGCTGCAAAGAACTAATTGCAATAATTGATTGCATAAAGCGGAGGCCTTCTTGGGAAGCTAAGAAGCGTTGAGCTAGACAAAAATTGAATACCTACAGTTTATATATTTCCTTCAATATAAGAGAAAAGTTGTAGTATTTATACAAAACAACTGTTTTGTACATTTTAACATTTAAATTATGTTGTAATCATTCGGACTTAAGATTCCGAACAGAACAGTAGTGGCAGCCATCCTTACTTCCTTCGCAAATAAAGTTCTGATTTGCTACATTGTCAAAGAATGTGCGCCAAAAATATGTGTATTGCATTAGAATAGATACTGAATTTCATTTTTGCCAGGACTGCAATTACGATGCTGTAAGCTAAATACAACGAACAGTATTTCACAGGTGTCCCGGTGCTGTAGTCTGTTCGGCAGGCCAGGTTTAGTTTTGTGACGTCATTGCAACAGCCGTGGTATAACAGAAACGTGTGCACTTGCCATGTCGCAACATCAGGTGGCCTTAGTGAGGCCACCTGCCAGTTCCATTTTGTCGTCACTATCAACCACAGATTATTTGACGATGTTTGGTCAACTGAATAGGTTATGTGTCGTTAATAGTGTGTCGGGAATTTTATGTAAACCGAATCAGGAACTAGCCGATCACAGTGGCCGCGCGGTCCAAGGCATGAACCGCCTTCGCCCGCTCGAGCACTGGGGCCGTGGTTTCGAAACCCACTCGAGGAATGAATGTCTGTGGACGTTTATGTTGTCTTTGTGTTGCTCTGTGTATAGATAGAGGCCTTGCGACAGGCTGATCCCCCGTCCAAGGAATCCTATCGACTGTGTATAGGATTACGGAACTGAAAAGAGGCCAAGGCCCAACAAAGGGTTGTAGAGCCATGGATAGATAGAATCAGGAACTAAGGTAATGGTAGGCCGCGCCACAGCTCAAGCGGTTAGCCGCTGGCTTCCCATTGCGGCGGCTCGAGTTCGATCCCGGATCTGGTCAAGTGGGATTTGTTGTGGACAAAATGGCGCTGAGGCAGATTTTCTCCGAGTATTTCAGTTTCCCCTGCCAATCTTCATTCCACCAATTGCTCCACAATCACCCTCACCTATCATCTGGGGCTGGTACAGAAGGCCAGAAGTGGCTGCAGTACAAGGGACTTAGTCCTACCCACTAGCAATAAAAGAAAGGTAATAGAATAGAACAAGAATAGAACATTTACATAATAAAGTAGCCTAACTAGAGATAAATTTGGAGGATATATTTTAAACCCTAAATGGTACAGATAAATTGATATCCCAGTGGAGAAATCACAAGGAGGGAGGAAGATGCACGATTTCCAAATGGACGTTATTGTAGGCCCAGAAAGATGAGTTGTAAGTCTAGAGGTAAGACGTTCTCATAGTTTTGAAAGTATGAAGGGGCTCAGATGGCCTTATCCTTGGTAAATTAAAGAAGCAGAAGAAGACAATTTAAAAAAGGAGAGAAATGGAAGACAGCTCCTGTGATTAATTGTATGTTACTATACCGGCCTACTTGTGGGAAAACCGAATAAAACCAGGAACAACAACTTCAATAAGCTTATATTGCCGTCTATATTCGAACCGCATGTGGTTCACAGGTGAGCTTTACTGCTTTGCAGATGAATGACTGAAGTTGAACTAGAGGGAGGAGACGCCCTGTATTTTCAGGAATTTAGTGCGCTCGAGAATATAATGCGTTCCGAGGCTTTTGAAGTTTAAATTTAAAAATATAATTATAGACACAGTTTATCGGAGTATCATCAAGTGATCAATACATTTAATTGAGTTGACTTTAATAATTAAAACTTTATTAACAAAGTTATGAAAGTATTTCATAAGATAGATTTAACACAAGTCTATCATTTTTTTTCCCGATGTTCTTTTACGGCTCTATAATCCTACGGGATTTGAGGATAAGAGTGTACGAGCTATTAACCTCGACACTGAACAGAAATGGGTGACCAGTTCCACACTCCGGCAGCTCTACTTTCGCGGAAAGGAGAACCCCTTAGCAATTGCTTATGAGAATATGTGGGCTTTAAGCCGATTTCGACTCGGTGGCAAAGGAAAATAACCTCTACCCTTACTGAGAACAAAATACTTGTTGTTCAGCCCGTAACGAAACACTTCAATGACCGATCTCTTGGGATTGTCCAAATAAAATTGTCGCGTATGCATTCAACACATTCTTGAATTAAAATTTTAATTTTAAGAGAATGTAAACACAACAACTTCAGCAAGAGAAATATTGTTTCCTGTCATCGAAATTAAAAGTAAATGCACTGCATTATGGTTTCACATAATCGTATTAATTTGCGCCGAGAGTGAAAGGCAAATGTCCTTAAAAATTCCAAGCGACATGTATGTGTAATAACCTTACAGCCAGTTCAGTGGAAATTTCTCAACATCAGGTGACCCGAGCCACTTAATACTCGAAGGTATATCCAGTGGGACGCAGAAGCCGACGCACGGGAACGTCAACTATTATTAAGAGTGCGTTGCTTTTGTCAGTTCTAGCAGAGGTGTCTTTCCTACAGCGAAAAATTTCGATTTCTTTACGATTTTGCAACATCGTAGCGGTCCATATCCAATTACTGGATCCATAAATGCCATTGTTACAAATCTAATCAACGATAGATATTGCTTTTATATTACGCCAATATAGCATCACGCTAAGAAATGTTAGTGAGCCGAGAAAGCGCATTCGGTATAACGATTGGTTGCGGGCTGAACGACAGAGGGATCGGAGTTTGAGTACCGGTAGGGTTAAGAATTTTCTCTTCTCCTATCCATTGGGTACCTGGGGCTCTTTTCCCTGAGGTAAAGCGGCAGAGGTGTGAATCTGACCACTCACCTGCAGTTAGTGCTGACGTCAAGAAAATGTGGATCTATATATCTACTCCCACATAGGCCTACATGGCTTAGTGCTTAATTAGTTAAGCACATGGGGCAACTTACCTTTTCACCTAATCAATATTTAAATTAAATATGTGGAGATTAACAAGGTTACTATATTATGTTATAGTCTTATTTGCTGCATGATTAGGGTCTCCGCTTCACGTATCCATAGTTCAACCATGACATCCAGTATAAATAAAAATACAAAATACAGGTTTCTAGAATCACATCTAAGTATGCATTATTCATTAAAATGACGGCAGGTGACTGCAAAAGGATTATTTGTTGTTGGCCTCTACTGGCTGAATTATACTTCCTGCAACCAGCACCTGTTGCTACTTCCATTATCACAATCTCAAATGTCATCATAACATTTTATGGAATAGAGAGAGAAGTGGTTTCTCAGGAACATGATAAAATTTGTTTAAAGCTTCAGGTAGAGTGCGGGTTATATCCAACGAACAACAAAAACAAAACAAACTCTGTGATTTTAGTCCGCAAGCGAACTATACCGACCGAGCGACCGCCGCTTGTCGGCGAAGTATAGTGCCAACTTACATTAAACAAACTAAAAACATAGCTTAGGCCACCATAACTAACTTCGCGAAGTAAAATCTTTCTTGGGAAGCTGATGGTCGCTCAACTGGTCATGAAATTCTCCACTCTTTATGGAATCCGAAAAGTCGTTACCATATCCAAAAGAGCCCATCACTGGATTTTATCCTGACCCATTCCGGTCCAGTCATAAACTTTTTTATATTATTCATTTTAATATTATCCTCTGAATTAAGCCTAGGCCTCCCAGCTGGTCTCTTGCCTTCTTATATGTGCATCTAATCCTTTTTGATTGAATGTCCCTTACAGTATTAGAAGAAATATTGGATTAGGGAGCTCCTCTCTATGCAATTTTTACCATCCGCTACGTATCTGTTTCTTCTTAGAACCACACACATTAGTACCTTAGTTTTCACCCTACTCTTAGCCACCCCTTAAACTGAGAGAAGCACCTCCACTCTCCCATACTCCTTCATGATGTAGTGCTTAATTAGTTAAGAACAGGGACAACTTCACCTTTTTTTTACGTCACTGTAACAGATTTAATCTAAATTCGTTCAGTGGTTTCGGAGAGGAAATATACAAGCAAAAGAACACAGCCTCCTTTCTATATTTCACTTCTTGAACAGACAGAAAACACCTCCAGAAGACGAAAACATCTTTACAAATTTGCGCTTTGTGTTTTAAAATATAATCCCTTCCCCTCCAAATTCAAAATTGTTACCTGGTGCGAAAATCAGGGCGAGGAGCAGCATCTTGTGGTATTGTTGTCGCTTGGAGCACTCTGCAAACAGAAGTGAAGACAGGCGCCTTGCAGTGAATGTGGGGCAGTAGAAAACGCCATTGCCACAACAGTAATAACACGGGCCCGTCAAGGAGCGTAACTCACTCCCATCACCCCCGTTGTCCTGTAATGACCATGTTTAAGGTCAAACACCTGCAATTTTATACGTACAAAAGACGAATTTAAACATGTGAAAAAATACCCTCGCCGATACAGTGACCACACCAACTGGAGGTAATTTTCACGGTCATCTCTAACTAATACTAATAAGAGGCGCTTTGCCTATTCACAGTTAAATAACAACATTCAATATAGGTAAGGTAAGGCAAGGTAAAATTTGTCCCTGTACTCAATTAATTAGGCAATATGCAATTAAGACATGTGGGGGTGGAGTTATAGCTCCAACATTCTTGACCTCGACACTACCTACCTATCTACCTACCCATCTACGGCACTAAAACCTCTTCTTGGACCTTGGCCGCCTTTTAAATTTCTTAATCAGGGGATCAGCCCACAGGACAGCACAAACACAGAATAAACCACATAGAAACCCATACCTCAAGTGCGATTCGAACCCACGATCCCACTTTTTGAGCTGGCGAGGACAGTTGGAGCTTTAAACCACACGGTCACTGTGATCGGTTCTGACTTCGGCACTAGATGGAAGTTAGTGTTCAGCTTCATGCCTCGGCAGCTTTACTCGTGAGGATAGAGCCGCCGGTACCTTTCGGAAAGGAGGTTTGGTGGTCCCCAGAGCTGGAGAGCAGAGAAAAACTTCTTCCTCCCGGCCGTCCAGCCTGTAACCCGTCGCAATACCGACTCACCTATGCCAACTCCCTCAGTAAAAGGGAAGATATAAATCTTACTTACTTACTTACTCATGGAGCTGAGCCCTTCTTGAGGAGCCGCCAATTCTGCAGCTCCTCAAGAATTTACCAGCATTTTATGGAACCCGAAGGTTCATTACTGTGTTCACAAGACCCCTCCCCCGGTCCCTATCCTGAGCCAGATCTATCCAATCCATACCATCCCATCCTATCTCTCTAAGATCCATTCTAATATTGTCCACCCACCTACGCCTTGGTCTTCCCTGTGGTCTCTTTCCTTCTGGCTTTCCCACCAATATCCTATACGCATTCTTCGTCTCACCCATTCGTGCTACATGACCTGCCCACCTCATCCTCCGTGACTTGATCGTTCTAATTATACTTGGAGAAGAGTACAAATTATGAAGCTCCTCATTATGCAGTTTTCTCCAACTTCCTGTGACTGCATCTCTCTTTGGTCCAAATATTCTCCTCAATCACCCCCAGTCTATGTTGAAGATATAAATACAGATTTAAAAAAGAATTCCAATTAGGCATTTTTGGCAAATAAAAACTGACATCGAAGAGACGACTGTTGGAGGATAAATTATTAATAAAAGAAAAATTATAGGCCTATGTCGTTCGAAGAATTATTACTATAGTACAAGACCAAAGTGGTGCTAGCATCTCTACCACCTCAGAAGTTCAGATGATTATGTCACTATTATTAATGACATTTTCCTCGAGACTGTTGCGTCTGACGAACACTTTTTTTTAATAGGGATATCCATGGTGGAGTCCCTTGCACATTCTATAGGTTATGGGGAAATGAAGGTGCAACTACACTCATTCTTAATCTCATCAGTAGAGGGAGGTGTGTGGTCAGCTTTATGCCTCCGGCTGCTTTACTCCCTTGAGAAAAGGCCTCAGACACCCACTGGATAGCAAGCTGGGTGCCCCCGGAGCCTTCCTGGACTCAATCTCTTGCATTAGCCATGAACCAAGCCCCGATTCCTCGGGCGTCCGGCCAGTAATTTATCGCCCTACCAATTCAGCTAGCCCGGCTCCCTTGCACGTCCATGACGAGTAAACAGTAAAATATTAAAACATATATAAATATTTAAATATACCGCTATTCTTTCGTGTTATCTTCATCTGTCCTTGTTGATTTCCACACAGATGTCGAACGTAAAACTTGCAATCGATGTGGCGTAGAAAGGTTTTCAACACTGACGTATTTTTATACCAAAATATATGGAAAATATTTGAAAGCACAGAATTACAGCAGAGTGTTTTGACGAGGTTACCTCTGTTGNAATCGAAATGTACTGTACGGTTTGTAGTGTGATATTTCCTCAAAAGATGGTGCAAGTTACATGAATGCCAGAGCCACCTTATCTCATGGTAGGGCAGTCAAAGGAAATGGCGTCGGAACAATTGTCATTCGAGCAATTAATCTTCTAAGCCATCCATTTTTGCTTTTTACAAGCAGCTCTGTGGGGCACGTTGTTTGTGTAAAGTAAAAATTTTGTTTGCTGCTGGATGTCTGGATGGAACTGTAATACAAACTTCATGTGTACAGAGTTATGAACAGTCCGCATATCGGACACCTTCAAGTGGCGAATAAAAATAAACTTTGATAGTCACAGCTTAATATTGTGGCGTGCCGCCTAGGGCCGGAATATTTTGAAGCAGAATGCATCCATTGCTATACAACTATTAGCAATTCCTAGGAAATCGTTGCCTCGGAAATGAAAGTCTAACAGTGGGGTTTCCACCGTTACAAACGAATTGTTTGAGGCAGACACGTATTCCCGCGTTCGTTGCGTAACAACGGGGGGAATTAACCTTTTGTTAAGGTATTCCTATTCAGTCCGAGGGCAAGTTTTGACAGTCGAACGTCGGCCAGAGACCAGCAGAATCTGTATTCGGCTTTAGCAGAAAGCGTTCTTATCAGACTAGACAGAAGTATTGTAACATTGGAGAAGAAACGTTTAAGGACGTTGTAAGTGGAGAATAACTGTAAGCGCGAGTGTAAAAGTGACTGCCCAATAAATATTCGTCCAAACCCGGGAACTCGCACAAATTTCTCGTTGCGTAGCCTAGCAGACAGGCGACAATATGAAACGATGTTGTATCTTCCACGACAGCCTCACAACATATTCCCAAAATTGTAAATATCATATATATCCACTCTACTTATTAAACTATGGTTCGAACTCAGAGAGAAAAGATTAATATTTTCTGGAATATAATACCGTGTAGTCCATTGAAAGTCAACCGATGTTTCGGAGGAACATGTCGTCTCCATCTTCAGGTTCGAAGAATAAGCTTAAAAAGATACTAGCGTAATATCGAGTGGCAAGTAGAAGTGGCCCGGGTTCGATCCCGGGTCTGGCCAAATGGGATTTGTGGTGGACAAAGTGGCGCTGGAGCAAGTTTTCTCTGAGTAAGTCGGTTTCCTCTGCCAATCTTTATTCCAACAATTGCTCCACAATCACCCTCACCTATCATCTGGGGCTGGTACAATAGGCCAGAAGTGGCCGCAGTACAAGGGACTTAATGCCACCCCACTAGCAATAAAAAAATACCACAAGCGTAATATTGTTCCTACAAACCATTCCATGCCCTATAATTACTAAAACTGACAAAGAAAATGCAGGAAAGCTAAGTAAAGCAGTAATTACATACCCTTACAGATATTTATTAATAAATGAAAACATAAACTCAATACAAAACTCAACTAAACAAAAAACATTTCAAAAATTAATATCACAAATTTTAGTTCTTTCCCTTTACATGATTTGCATCTGTAGAGAGGGCAGGTTGTTGGACTGCACTCCGATCACCTGGGCAGCCGTAAAGTGTGAACCACTGACGTAATTTTGTTGGGGGGGGAGTCANCAGAGAGGAGAGAAAACTGGAAAAGAATTTAAAAAGAAAAAAGAAAAAAGTAGGGGGAGAAAGATGAGAGATTGAAGACATTCTTTACATAAGTCTGAGAAGTCCATGTTTGTTGAGATTTCACGTGGGGTGTGTCTATTATTTTCTATGGTTTTTCAAAGTCCCTCCAAGCAAATGCCGGATAGCACCTTGATTTTGCCACGACCACTTCCAAATCCTTCCCAGTTCATCTGTTGTAATTTTGTTATTTGATGCCTATTTACCATACCGATAATGAGTGATTTTTTTTTAAATGTTGAAGCATAGTTACATGTACAGATAGGCAAAAATCACATGCTGTGTAGTTTCTGAAGTGTCTGAACTTAATTAACTATATTGAGAGGTGCATATATGTATCACACTGTTGCAATTTCTTGATTCTGAACTCTGAAGAGAGTGGGGGTTTTCCTTTTGGAAGTACCTAACAGTTTCAAGGCCTTGACATTGTTGGCACCCATGTCACAGACAGTGTGGCAACAACACCTTCAGGCCAGTCTATAAGTATTCTGAGAGGTGTCAAGAACCTCATTCAAGTATTCAAACCAAACTTCTGATTGAAATGTAAGTTATCTCTGATTGGACATTTCATCAGACATGAGACAGCAATATCATCACGGATCTCTATCAGACATTTTCTGCAGAGAGTGATTGAGTGCACGAAACACGCGAATGAGCATTGACTGATGCCCGTCCTAAATGGAGCAGTATTCAGGACAGACTGCAAGGAGTAGTAGTGGTAGTAGTAGTAGTAGCAGCAGTAGTAGTAGTGGTAGTAGTAGTAGTAGTAGTAGTGGTAGTAGTAGTAGTGGTGTGCTTAAGGAGAGACAGAACCAACAATTTCTGACAAATCTCTAGATTGAGAGAAGATGAGAGTCTCTCTCTCTCATCACTCACTAGGGACCGGATTTTTATGCCCTAATAATGCCTTAAATATTTATGCATGAAAAACATCCAAAATATGCACTTAAAATTTTATACCAAATATTAAAAATTGATTTTACATTATTTTAAGACCAACAAATCAATATTCAAGTTCATTTTATGTGATCACTGAATGATTCACTTGCAATAAAAAGCTATACTTAAATACAAATCATGCAGCAAAGCCAACATATTTCATAAAAAATTAGAAAACCAATGGTACTCGCATTTAGCTCTCCGAACTTTCAACCTCTCTTCTGTTGCAGTTCACAGTTACTAAACGTTTTAGGTTATCCATAGTTAGTTGCCTCCTATTGTCTTGTAAGATGTCCTTATAGCAGGGAAAACTTATTTCCACCTCACAGGAACACAGGGCCGCGTATACAAGAGCCGCTATTTCCTCCACGGTTAGTGATTTTTTGCTTGGCAGTTCAGTACGTTTACTGGCTGAAATCTCTTAAATTTCACAAATTTTTTCATATCCTGGATTTTTTTTTCTTGAAAGAATGCTGTGTACTTTTTCCTTTACTACTTCACCAACTCTTCCAGGAACGGAATTCAGTTTGGAAATGGTGGTTTTGAACACGCTTAACGACCGATACAAATTAGTATTGTTATTGCTATTGTTATTGTTATGAGAGAAGTGAGCAGATATGTAGGAAAGATTAGTTTCTAGTTCTGCGTTTTTTAGTACATCTTGGGCAGTCTGAATTGATGGTGCACTTATGGGCTCAGATGTATTCATGACAGTCCTGTTTCTAAATGTTCGGTATAATAACTCGCTGCACACAGCCAGGTGACCCAGCGCGTTAAAATTGGTTCTGGCGGAAGTGGAACGCTCGGTGTTACTGCTTTAAAGGCTTCTTTTCTGTATGGTGCTTTAACAAATACCTTCTTCGCAGAAGACGCCAACTTGTCAGCAAGCAGGAAATTTTTGCACGAATCGTTTCTGCGACACAGTGCAACCCGTGGGCAAGACAAGTCAAATGTGTCATACTGATATATTGGGTTTCTGGACTTCATCCATCGTCCTAGGACGATGGATAAAGTCCAGAAACCCAATATATCAGTGTGTTATACACCATCGTCAGAATCCTATAGTAACTACCAAATGTGTCATATTTGGAAGTATAACTTTAAGAGCAGTACCGGCTTTCATCATATAACTTGCGGCATCAATCACAAAGAGCAGTGCACACTGAATGCCACTTGGCCACAGTAAATTTGTGGAATTGATAAAGAATTCGGAAATTGCGTAGCTATTTGTCGTTTCAGATTGTTCTAGCGGAAGAAGATATGGGGTAGATTGTTCATTGTTATTATGGGATCCAACTATACAGTTTACAATAAAGCGCCCCTCACAATCTTGTGTTTTGTCGATTGATACCCACACAAAATTATCTTGAATCTTATCTCTAAAGCTTTCAGTTGTAAGATCATAGCACTGCTTCACGTAATTTTTGTGCACAGTAGATTCATCCGGCACTTTGCACTGTGTATACTTCTCCGTGAAGTTTCTCGGAGTAGGACTGGTTAGTTTCCACAGCGGAATATCCGCTGCTAAAAAGGCTTCTCATTAATGAAAGGAAAAATGTGAAAAACTATTATTAGAAAATTCACTAAGCAATTTTTGAACAGGAGCACTTTTCGTGGATTTAATTTTAATATTCTCTTTGTGTATATTAGTGTTCAAATGCCGAAGCACTCGAAAGCATTTTTCACAACCGTTTGGTAACACGCTCGGCGATAAAGAATCTTGTTATCCGCAGTTATCGTCTCTCCTTCAAACTCCTGCTGATACGGCTGTAATTTAGTTTTTATGACTTACTTTCACATTCGGCATGACCACAGAAAGCTGAACAAACTTTGCTACAGACTAGTCACCACTAATGTGAGTGGCCCCCCAGCTACAAATGAAGAAGCGTAACGAACCTCATGGAGATTTTGAAAATAAATAAGTGAAGTCCCTTATCGGTTGAATAGTATTATGTTGATAGCGGCTACGTGTGAACACTTCCGACCAATCTCTTCGCGGCCACTTTGAAGTTACGCGGATGAGGCAAGTTAGGAGTAGAGGGATCGGGGAAGTCCTGTCCTGGGTATCTCATCAGAAATATGAATCATGACAAAACGTTGAGTCATATATGTAACATATTCTAATACGGAAAAGAAAAATTGTATACACACGAGCATGCTTGAAAATTTGAACATAAAATTAAAAAATAT